GTGACATCGCTGACAGCATTGCGATAGACGGGAGCGGATGGGTGTGGGCGATCCCACTGCACAACGACACGCTCTCCTGTGGTATCGTTGTTTATCAGGAGCTCTTTTTCGCGAAAAAGAAGGCATCCGGACTGGATGGCCTCTCTTTCTACAAGGAATATCTCAAGCTTGCGCCGCAGATCAACTCTATGGTTGCAAATGCCGAAATAGTCAGTGAGATGAAGCAAGCTTCAGACTGGTCCTACAGCGCTTCCGCGTATGCTGGCCCAGGTTTCAGGATCGTCGGAGACGCTGGCTGCTTCGTCGATCCATACTTCTCCTCTGGAGTACACCTCGCTCTGACTTCCGGTCTTTCAGCGGCGGTCACAATCCAAGCCGTCCGTCGTGGACAGTCTGGAGAAGAGCAAGCTGCCAAGTGGCATGCCACCAAGGTCTCGGAAGGCTACACCCGTTTTCTGCTGCTTGTCATGACGGTTCTTCGGCAATTGAGGATGAAAGAAGCATCACTCATCACTTCTGAGCAGGAAGAAGGTTTCGATATGGCGTTTAAGACTATACAGCCAGTCATTCAAGGCATCGCTGACACAAATACGGAGGATGCCGACGTCCAAAAGCGAACAGCTAAGTCAATCAACTTTGGTCTAGAGTCCATGAACGTGTCTTCTGCGGCAGAGGATGCGGTAGTGAAGAAGATTCGAGAGGCAGAGAACAGACCGGAGATGCTGGAGAAGCTGACAACGGAGGAGGTTTCCATCCTCGACCGGATCACCAAGCGAACGTTTGCACACGAGAAAGATGAGCTAAACCTCACTCATTTCACTGGTGAGGTGATTGATGGATTTTCAGCCAGACTTGTGCGCGGCGATCTTGGCTTCGTCAATCATGCGACCCAATCGGCCTCTGCTGACCAGCCCGCCGTCAGTGCTGCGGTCGATATGAGCGGACTGGACCGCAACATCAAGCAGGCAGCATGAAACACAATTTGGCTAGACATACTTGTTTGAGCATTCGTTCTAGATAGTCCAACCTAACGCTAGTGAAAAAATTTATATCAAGATCCATGCTTTCCAAGAAAATGCTGTTCAATTCAAAACTGTCATGATCTATTCCGCCAAAGATAAGATGAAGCCCCTTAGGGTTATTAAAGACGAGTCTCTAGGTTGCTAGGCAGCTGTGGCAACCTTCAGCCTTCTAGCTAGGAAATGTATAGTCGCCTGGAGAAACGCCTGGAAGCGCCTGAGTAGCGCCTTGGCAAGACTATATAAAGCGCCCTGCCCCTTCACTTCAACAGGCCTTTGTCTGCTATGCTGTCACCTTAGCTGAATATACCCTTTCAATCAACCTACCTGTTCCTGCTGCCTGTCAACTCTTACAAAAACCTCATCCGGTTTGTTTTGTGTGAGGACCACTATACGCGAAAGAGCTTGACGTGTACAAGTGATTTTGTCATAGCGCTGCTCATTCACTCATGGTGTACCTCTGTTCAGTGCCGCGACAGTGCTGTCAGACTGTCAACAAGATCCCCGTAGCTTGTACTATGAATTAGGCAGCATCGCATCGAGATCATTGCTCAAGTCGAAGTCGTGCTAATCCCACTCACAGCTGTTTGCGCCCCGGACCCGGGTTCTGAAAATATGCCGAGTGCCAAGATATTCGCGTGAAATGTACCGCATGACCCCAATCGAGCCGCGATAACGGGTGACGAAAGCAACGGCCCTGCAAATCCTCCGGGTACCGTTCTAGTACAGATCTGATATGCAATCTGTCCTGCGACCTGGTCCTCGCATCGCTAAGTGTGGCGACTCGGTGTCCGTTGAATGATACTAAATCCAGCGCAGCCGCTGAAGTAAGTAGGGTTGAGGAAGCTGATTCATCGCGCTGGTTTCATTCTCCCGACGGATAAATTGAACATGGGTTCTCTTGCAGAGGTCATGAAAGGACAATCTTTCCTGCGCAACGGGGACCGCAATGACTACGACCCCGAAAGATGGCAAGCGAGTCCGGGTGATCTGCCGGAGCGGTTGCCAGTAACTGGCCTCAAGGTACTCGTGGTAGGAGCTGGTACGGGTGGGCTGATGTCTGCGTTGGAGTGTTGGCGTAACGGCCATGAAGTCGTAGGTATCTTGGAACGAAGCGAGAATCCCGTGTTCGCGGGTGAGTGTTCCGGTATTTTCGCATTTATAACTTATAGCACCAATGTGCAAGCCTGACCAGTATGTATTGACCAGGCGATATCATTATCTTCGGACCATCAGCCATAAGGACACTGCGGCATTGGCCACAGATGTGCAAGGAGCTGGCAGAAGACAGCCGCGACAGCGAGACATATTACCGCAGGCATTACGGCGAGTTGATTCTAGGCCCCTCGGTGCCGATATACAACGATCCGGAGTATCTGGAAGAGCGTCAAGGCCTACCTTTCGTGGCACCGTTCCAGATACGACGGAAGTTCCATGAGATGCTTCTTCGGCAAGTCGCTCGAATAGGCCTCAAGGTTCAGTACGGCCAGCGTGCTGAGAAGTATTTCGAGGATGACTCAGTCGGAGTGGGCGGTGTACTCACACAGGACGGAGTGCAACATGTCGCCGATTTGGTCATAGCGGCCGATGGCCATCACTCGAACTCTGAACTTCTCATCGCCGACAAGCGTCTGCCCACACGCTCGAGTGGCATGTCGGTGTACCGCACAGCTTTTCCAACCGAATTGGCGATGCGCAATGACGCCTTCCGAAAGCAGTGGGGCGAGCGCGCCAAAAAGGACACTTCGCAAGAGTACTGGCTGGGACCAGGAATGCACATTGGCATCCTGATCTCGCCAGATCTTGTTGCCTGGGGGTTGACGCCTCGGGACCAGTTCTTGTTACCAGGCGGCAGCGAGCCAAAGGAATCTTGGGATCCAGATGTCAGCTCGCAGGAGGTATTAGCTGTCCTGAACCGTGTCTCAGACTGGCATCCCGCTATCCAAGGTCTTGTCAGTTCGACGCCTGAAGGCTCAATAACGCACTGGCCCTTACTCTGGCGCAATTTGCGCCCTGAGTGGACATCGAAGAGTGGTAGAGTGGTGCAGGTCGGAGATGCAGCGCATACCACTGTCCCATCCTCGGTCAGCGGAGGTACCTTGGCGGTTGAAGATGCTGTGACGCTCGCGGCTTGCCTAAGACATGCGTGTACCGATAACGCTTACAAAAGCGGACCACTGGGTGCACGTGTCTACAACTTGCTGCGCTATGAGCGCGCCAGCTGCGTCCAGAAGATGGCATTCGTGAATTCCCAGCTTATGGGTGCAACTAATTGGGAAAACACCAGAAAGGACCCAAAACAGATTCGGCTCAAGTTCCCAAAATGGGTATTTCGACATGATGTTGAGACATACGTCGACGATAAGTTCAGCCAGGCCCGGGCGCACGTGCTGGAAGGCAAATCTTTCCAGAATACTAACATCCCGGCCGGTCATGTCTTTGAGTCTTGGACAATTGAAGAGATTCACAAGGACATTGCAGAAGGCAAGGTTATCGCGGATTTGCTAGACGGCGACTGGTCATAACTAGTGTGGGAGGGCAAGACTAAACTAGTTGGTATCGGTGCCTTACGAAACTTCTATCCTATAAAATCGCCTTAGATACGCTAGATATATTACTTCAATCTATATACTGTCTATAGAGCTTATCTCCAAAAATCTTTCAACAATAGCTATTGTACGTGGCTGTATAACGATATCCGCAGTGTTAATTTTGGTGTTCTAAGTATGCATTACGCTGGCTCGCGCATTTCGCCGGCTAGTACAGTATCGCGCCGATGAACAGGGGTTTCCTTTAGACGCTAAGCTTTTAGATTTAAAATTAGCCACAGATTCCTTCGTTCCAGCTTCAGTATGCGGCCCTATGCGGAGTGGCTTGGAAGAGGATTGCGACAGACAACTAACTCGACTGAAGCTACTAAGGCTGGAATTAGCTACCCTGACTAGCTTAGGACTCAATAGTCAGGCAGACCATTAGAGGTTGGAAAATCAGGTGATGGTACCGCTATCAGCGCTGTAGTTAACGACTGGTTTTTGTAGGAGTTTCTTCATTCTAACTTCGGGCGCAAGTGAGCACCAAGTAAACAAATATTTAATTATTCAGTATTTCTGCACACTTCAAATCAAAAAAAAAATCTTGCTCATCGGGTAGTTCGGTAGAGTTTGCTATTATAAGGGCGTTTAACCCCGCATAAACCCTGTCAGTAGCTATCATCGCATGGTGCATATACAAACCAAGGCATAAATTCTGCTAACAGGGGTTTACTCTCTTGGGAACCAACTCCACCCTTTCCATTCACATTCACACCTCGAACCGAAGGGTTACATGAGCCAAGAATCCAAAAACTCCCTCAAACCCTATCAAATACCACCAGATAGTTGGCATCGCGATAACAACGCTTGGTATTCAGCTCAATGCACGATTCAAAGCCTTCAGAAGGACATCACAATGCATGCTATAAAGCTCTCACTCTTTCCACATCTCAACCTTTCCTCCTCACTCCACAACATCCGGTCTTTTCTTCATCGCCTTCTTTTTGCTTTCCCGATCACAGTCATTCGCTTCTGTTAATCATCGTTGCGGCTCCGTTCTGCTAGCCTCTCGCTCAAGTACTATCATCTTACAGCAACCATGAAGACCTCTTCTTCTCTGCATTGTTTAATCGCCGCGTTCACTGGGTTCACCAGCGCTGCGGTATTGCCCAGTAATGACAACAACGCTGTTCTTCGTCCTGTCCAGCGACTCGATGGACTCAGGCCATCTCCTTTTAACAGTGTCGGTGTGACACAGGGGCCAGGTCAAGCGCCCCCTGCAATTCTAAAGCCTATTCGCAGGCCTGGAATCAAGCCCGGCTACCTCAAAGATCTCGAAGCCCGAAAAACAGATGGTAAAACCGGACCTCCAGTTATCTTAAAGCCCATCCCGCGTCCTCAGGCTCTCAAGTCCGGTCTCGCCACCAGCCTTCAGGCCAGACAGGAAACCATGGTGCCGACCAAAGAAATTATCCTCGGATATGCTGCTGAGGGCATGTCAGCCTTAGTTGATGTTGCCATGAAGCAGCCTACCGTGGTGTTAGAAGAAGTCGCCGGAATCACCTCCGTCAAGTGCACCGACTCCGCTGTGTCCATGATCTTTAGCGATACTGCTGCTGTCAAAGCCGCCTCTGCCGCGTGGCCTAAATCTAACTTCATCATCATTACTTACTCTCCCGATGGCGGCTGCAACACTGCCGACGAGCGTGGTTTCTACACCGTCTCCGCCATTAGTTTTGATGAGGCTTCTTTCACTGCCACTGCTTCTGGCCAGCGCTCTGCTCTTGACGAACAGAGTGAGGATGCCGTTGTTGAATTTGATACGATCACGGCTCCTGCCAAGCGCGACCTCCAGACATCATTCAGTGGCGAGATTAATGGTACCCTCATCGATACAGGAAACCTCAAGATTGTCGTCGATCAAGCGAAGTTCGAAAGCAATATCCGTATCAAGGGCGGCTTCCGTTTCAACTTCCTCAAGTTCAAGTCTAGCAAGATGTATCTTGACATCGACTACTCTGGTCTCGTAAACCTCAACGTATCTACAACTGTCGCTGCTTCCTTCTCTTCCGACATGTACAAGTACCAGCCGCTTTCCGCGTCTGTCTCAGCTTTTAGCATTCCCGGAATTCTCGATGTCGGTCCCATCGCAAAATTCGGTCTGGGTGTCGAGTTTGCAGCATCAGGTACTGTCGATGCCTCCCTCGGTCTCCACAGCGAGATTGTCAATGGTCAGGTCCACCTCGATCTCCTTGACTCCAATAAGACCTCATCTAGTGGTTGGAAACCCGAAACCTCCGTCTCCTCTGATGTCAGTGCCGAGGTGTCACTACAGCTCAACCCGTATCTCGACTTGAACCTTGCCCTAGGTATCCGTGTTTTCAAAGGCGTCATTGATCTGACCACCGGAGTTGAAGTCAAGCCTCAGATCATCAACGCCTTCTCTGCTGACCTCAATTTTGCCTATGCTAGTAGTTCAGGTATTACCTTCACTAAACCAGACACGGCTACCTGCCCCAACGGCGCCTGGTTCGCCAGCACCTTCAACATGGATGTTAATGCCTACATTGGAACTGTCTACACCAAGACGCTATACAGTGTTAATGCTCCTATCTTCCAGCCTCAGTGCTGGAGTTTCGCTGGTTGATTTTTTGGTTTTATTAGGAAAGGGAAGAACATTTGATTTTCAGATTGTAAATAAGTTGATAGACAAGACCGCAATGTTCCCATGGATAGAGATACTAGATTCAATTTGAGTAGGGTAGAGTAGATAAAGAGCGGAATCGAAGTAACAGTTAGTAAAATCTTAAGAAAAAATAGATTTTTTAATTGATTATTGGCGCATGGCGCTGTGTTTTAAAAACAATTCTATTCATTTTACTATCAGCTGTTATTATAGGCTAAATAAAAAGATTCTAAAGTTTGAACAAATAGAATTAATAGTCCATACTACTCGGCCACAATTTATAGTAAATTCAAATAAAGAGATTCTATTCGTTCGCATAATAGTGTAAGAAGTTGATTACGAGACATGGCATAGAGGGGTATACGTAAAGGTGAGATGGGTGATTATAGCTAGTGGACTAACCAGCTCGCTTATAAACTACGTTAGTTAGTGATTTCCTATTCAAAGCATTATAAAATTACTAAGGTCCTTTTCCTATTTTCACAGTCGCGATGGTACAAGCCGAGTAATCCCGCGCTTCTTGCCGCCCTAGGTTAAACAGGTGGTTGCAATCTACTTGGTCTATCTACAGCCATTCCGCGAGTATCTCACGCTACAAGTACTTGCGGGAAGCTATATCGACTACTTATGGTCTGACGAGCAAGGCCAATAGAAGATAGACTGACTCACGAGGTTGCTGAAGCGGGAGACAGAATAGAGGCTAGGAGTGACGCTCTACACACTCGACTACAGACATGCAGCGGTAGAAATTGGGCGCGGCTTATAATCGGTACGGTGTCCATGTTGATACTGGCGCGCTGGTTGTTCTTCAACCCGATAGCTGGTTTGAGTTGGTCTTAGAGATTGATGTTAGCGCTAAAAAGGAGTGTAAGGAATGTTTTAGTCAAAATCTAGTAGGTACTGGTGTTACAGCAAAGGAAAACAGGAAGTTCAGTCCCTAACTATTACGTTTCACAAGTCATAAAATCGACTAGTAGAATCGGTGCCAACGTCTATACTGGGTAGCCAGAGAGTAGTTTGGCAATTAAATCTCTATCACTCTGCAGAAATCATAGTGGCAGCTTTCGTTCCGGCTTTGCCACTGAGCGCACACTTTTGTAAGAGAAAATTACTCAAACTCGGGTTTTCTGTAGTATATCACTGAAAAGTGCTGACCTTATTACTTCAGCATAGGCCCATGGATTATTGTTGTAAGGTTCCGGGTGCTGGAATCGCTTTTCTGACTTGCATCGTCTCTTTCTTGGGTTCTGCTGCTCAAACCCCGCTCGACTATTATGCTGTCCAAGTAAATGTGGTCTCCTTGAGATTCCAGATCTTTCCTGCCACCATTCCGCGTTAACTGTCCCGAGTGGGTTGCTCGATTCGACAGAACATCAGAAGATGTTTTATTGGCCCTAGATCGCGGATTACCAGTGGAAGAAGACATCAATCCCAAGGAGTGGCGGAAAAAAACTCGAAGTGCTGGAGCTGACGCACAGATCAAGCCTAGGTCGGCTTCGAGTACGGTCCAAATCCAGCCATAATACGCGTACCATGTCGCATCATACGTAACTAGATTATGATAAGCCGAATGATTCAATAACACTCTATAGGGATACTTACAATAGTAAAGATAGATTGCATAATACAACCTCATGATACCACAGATTGTGGTGACAAGACCTAAGCCAAAGATTCCACAGACTGCGAGCTTCTGGCGTTTGGGCATCTGAAGATTACGGATAAGGAAAGCAGGAAGAAGGCAGATAACAAGGTCTTGTACTGTTGAGACAGTCGTGACAGAGACTATAAATGGTCCTTCTTCAGCACAATCTTTTCGTCCAACAGCTACAGAGCAGGCGAAAAAGATAAGAATAATAAAGGAAACAAAATAAAGAATGCAAGCCGCTATGCATGCCCATACTAGGTATACAAATCTGTTAGTCAACGAACCAGTTAGCCGTCGGTAGAAGAGCAAAATTGAAATTTTTATTAGAGTCGTGGAGATCATGTAAGTGAGTTCGATTGCCATGGTGACCTAAGTAGCTGCAATGAGCTTCATCAAAGAATGGAACAGTGAGCGTTGATCTTACGTATGTTGTGGTGTTTTTGGTTGTCGGTGTCTGATCCCACATATGCCATTGGAAGCCATAAATTTTCACGCCTTAGCGATGTTAGTTGTGACAAGATGACTGATGCAGATGCTCATACCGAGAATTGCCGAAATTGATAGTCCGATCAAGAATATCATAGATACACTTATAAGAGCATCATCAACACCAGCGTTTTTGGTCATAGTCAGCCGTGCCCACATGCGGGCGACATAGACGAGAAGCGTCACCACTAACAAGATAGACAGAGCTACTGGGGCGCCCCATGTCCTTTCCTCTGGAGAGATGTGATTGGGAGTCGGCCAACTGGCAATCACTTCTGGAGGGACATGAATGCCGCCCGCGCGACTAACCAGGGCATTGGTTTCACGCAGAAGACCAGCGGCGTTGACCATTTCGACATATAATAGAGGATAACTTTACTTTCGGAGGGACCAAAAAGAGTGTAAGAGTGATGAAGAAAATTTGTTTCATCTGAGCAGCTGGGAACCTTTAGATGATGTGTTCAGGAGTTAGCTAGATAAGGGGAGACGGCTCGGGTTAGGCGCTGAATTCTAGGCTTTCTTCTAGAATGCTCACTAGCAATGACTCTCAGGCACACGGCATGGCTTTGTCGTACTCAGATGTCAAACTGTGGAACTACTTCTCACTAGACCATGGTCCGCCCATGGCAATTCGATGTTGTGAGCGTCCGCTGCTATTAATCATGTCGCACTACGCAAGGGCAAGCCACTTTTCGGAGAAATGTTGCAAATTGTGCTAGCGCATCTTTCGGCAATGAGAATCGCCTGCTTTAGAGGCCGCACTAGTGGCCCGCTACAACGCACGATCTGCAAAGGCCTTGTACCACGATTCAGAGATTCCAGAAATTGGTCCGACAATTACGTGACGCAACATGCAGCACTGGAAATGGATAATTCATCTAAAGGGTCTTTTCAATTTTCCCAAGGAAGTCTGATGAACGAGGCGGAAGTGATTCTATCCTGGTGACAATCTGAGATCAGTCAAATCCCACCCTGCTCGGTTCTGAAAAGCTCCTTGTCATTCCAAAACTAAACCCTGTTGGGCTTAGCATTAGGGCTCTGCAAAATTATAGGAGCGTTAAATAACAGCTGGAATCATATTGAAACTTGTGCAAATTTTATCAGTGATGCAAGAAGGTCATATACATCGAACAAGCTGCTTCTTGTCGTCCTGCGATGTACATAGCGCAGGTTATTCAATAGCGTATGCTGGAGGGTTGGTGTTCGTGGGTGTGGCCTATACTGACTTAGGCCTAGGGTTACGTCCACTATGAGCAGTTCTTCGGGAAGTACTATAACTACAAGTATCTACAATAAGATCTAGAACATTGTATACTAGTACAAGAAGAATATAGAATGGAAACGTATTTTGACTTAGTATGTATGCCGAGATTAGGGCGGGCAAGAGAAGGGGGCTTTCAAAAGAAGGCAACTGTTGTCCTTTCCTAGTGAGCTTCCCTTCCTAGCTATTACTCTCTCGAGGTACTCGATTTGATAACACCCTCTTATTCTAAAGCTAAACTCTGTTAGGAAATTCGATACAGCTCGGCCTACACCCTGAGGTGATCTCACGCATTGATATCGTTCTCAGCGCAGACAAACAGCCTCACTGCTTGATAGCAGATACATCATCCTGGGCTACTTGTTGATAAAGATTATACAACCTATGTATCTGCCTCCACGCCGAGCCATAATAGCTGATCAACCAGTCTGCTCTGCGCCGTCTGTAAGAGACCTCCCTGAGCAGCTCAGCCTCCATGTCAATGAGCCGGAGCCCATCATTATCCGTCGTACATGGCAATTTGCTCTGAATAGGATAATTTTTTTGACAGATTATGTAGTAGAGGAATACAAACTTCCAAAGAATTTGGCAAAAGAGGCGTCCCGATAGCTGAGACCATATACCATTCTGGGACCGAAAGCGCTTCGGCTGCGACCAAATCACTCTCTCCCTCACATAATAAGGCAGCAATCCCAATCTTGATTAGCGCGTTACTTCGGTACCCCGCTTCTCGTTAAAGAAGCCTTCGTGCCATGATTTTCCGAATCGTTCTGCAAGACTTTTGTTGCAACGCAGTACAATTTGAAAACACCAGGGCGCAAAGTCGCAATGGGCTATTCAAGCATATTTGAAAGCCTCCATAATAGTGTTCCAAGGTCTTCCCCCCTCCCAACACCACAAGAGGTCAGGTCCACAACTAGTCCGTATGCGAAACAGCTGTTCAAAGATCATGACACGTTATCAAAAATTGTGGACCGATATGAAAGAGCATTATGCAAGTGATGGATGAAGAAGTCCTGTTCCCGGAAGAAGATGCTGCTGCTGGACGCATGGCTGGACATGCCAAGTCAATATTCAGGCTTGGCGCCAACATTCAAAGGAGAAGAATTCATACATGTGGCCGTTCATCAACCTCGAAGATCTTGTGAAATCCAAAAAAAATACTGATTCCTCTCCATGCCCGTGGTAAAAATCAGCCTCACGACTTTATCCACACAGATCTAGAGCAAGCTGCTCTTGGCGACAAGAGCGGTGCGAACACATCCGCTTTTCTAAATGGGTACAGGATGCTGTTCCATAACAGAGAAAATTCTGATACGTATGGTGAGCTTGTGTAGTGGGATGACGATGAAGACGCATTTGAATATATGACAATGGAGTAGGCATGCATCCCAGTCACGGGCTCAATGCTCTGGAGATTCAGCAACGCATATGGAATTTCCCGGTCACCTGGTGTGAAGTCATGCTAAACGATATGTCTTCGTTGACTGAGGGCGAGATAGTGTCAGATCCTGGACCACCAACAGGCCAAGAAACTGCATTCACTTCCCTTGAACTTATCGCAACGGAGGCGCCGTACTAAACGCCCGCTCGCCTCGATCTCACGCGTTTGAAGGCTATTGCGTTTGCTGAGCGCAATACGAAAGAGGACCGTTTATGGGCCCTTCGTGAAGACACTTCATACTTCGCAGATATAATGCAGGGGTTTTCAGAGTATCGTCAAGAGATGTTGTTGGATACACTGGATGGATCACGAGCACCCTACACTGAGAGAGAATGGATGGCCGCTATTCTGAAATAAAGTATTGGGTAACATCGTTGATGAATCCTATCTCGGCTCCGCCGCCTTTAACAATATTTTCAAGCAAGTCGAGACCCTAGATTTTGTCTACGCCAAATACAAAGATGAGATGACACCAGAACGCGACCTACCACCCGAACTCATGGATTCATTTCAGAGTCTACGCTTCAGCCTCGATGCAGCCAAAACAGGCCTGATTCAAGTGTTGAAAGCCGGAATTTTTGCGCCCCCCTCTTAGCGACAATTCAGTTCTCGTGCACCGCCACAACATCCGAAGTCCTCGAAAATCGAGACACAATACAATCCGCCAATGCCAGATAATTCTGTAGAACGAATCATGCCATTATTCGATATCCTTTTCGATGACAAACAATTGTTTCTATTCGGTTTACATTCAGTGACAGATGAGGTCGAGAAGTTCATTCGATCAGATGCGATAGTTCGCGCATTGGTCTCACCCCTCGTTTCGAAAAACCTGTCTTCACTCTCGGTAGTATCTGAATGTCTTCATCAACTTTACCTTTTCCAACCTTGGGCTCGCAAGATCGATGATGAGATGGATTTAAAGAAAGATAAATTAAGGCTCAAATACAATCGCAGTTTTGATGGCTAGTCTGCAATTGTGAATACAAAATTTGAAGGTTCAGTCATTTACCGGTATGTTGACCCCACCGATGGTAAATTAAATTATCTAGTCCACCATCGACGAAACAGGCAGAATGTAGAGGCACAACGCAAAGCTGAATCCAATCTTGACGCGTTTTGAGCAGCGGTAGATATACATTACTAGACACATAACCGTAGGAAAACACAACATGATATGGTTGTAGATCTGCTTGGCAGTGATCACACAGTTAAACGAACACTCGGTTGAATTGAACCGGAAAAGTCGGCGAAGTCTGAACCCATTGAAGAATTTACATACCAGCCATTCTCGGAGGTCTTCCATGACCGCACCAGTCAAATTACTGGCCATTTTGATCGTGCTTCCATACTAGCAACATCAATGAAAATCAAGACAGGTGCTACCGACACAGGTCGTGGGCAACCTGAACGACAAACAGCAGCACACCATCAACCATCTGGGGACAAGAGATTGTTCAAAATCGACCAACGTACGCAAAAAATCTTCAAGGTACTTTTTCACTCACCCCATAATCCTGACCTCCCTGGCGAGGTCCCTCGGCTTGAATTTTTGCACGCGATGGTTGCTATCGACTTTTCGGCCCGAGAAGGCGCATGGCTTAGCCTGGAACTTCTTCCCAAAAACTATAGAACATAGTGTTGGAAGAAGCATTCAATTTCACGAAACACAGCCAAATAACAAGATCTCGTTCCACTGGGCAAGGAGATATGGAAGAAGACTAGCGAGGGCATACGGATGGACGGGTGACATATTCACATTGGCCTAACAGCGTGCAATCAGTCCAAAGTCTTTAGCTTCATTATGCCTTAATGATCTCCACCTCTAGTATATACGATCTAAAGATATATGCCTAGCTGCACTTGACGATCATACTTCTGCAGATGGAGGCCGAGGAGGAAGCTAGGCTCTTGAAGCATTGACGCTAGGGCGTATCTCGATGTATCTCGCCGGTCGCATCTTCTACGGGAACTGAGCCTTCAAGTATAATGTAATTTCGAACTGCTAGTTCGTCTGCATTCCGATTCAGATGCGACAGCTAGAGCTCTAGCTAAAGAGATTCTATGATATAAAATCCCCAAAGATTTGCGTGCAAAATAGTTCTAGAGGGACAATTAGTTCTGCAAACATCTCTACCCATGTGACGGGAATCTTTGTGGACCGGAATGAAGCAATAAAATAAAGCAACTCGCGGGAATGCTTGCTGACCTTATGCTCTTATTGGGTAGTTTCGGACCACCGGATTTTCCGCTACACGGGGAGGGAGGTTACTAGTCAAATCTGGCTATGAGACTCAGCGTGTGCAGGTATGATAATAGCTCTGAAATTAAGGAATTTACTGTTTCATTGCCTGCATCGTCTCATCTGCTTGCATAGAGGCTGTGGTGCAACAGACGTTCAATTAGCTGGCAGTATCGCTAGTTACAAGAGTTTCTATGGTTCTGATAACTCCTTGGCTTGTCCCAAACTCTCACTCACTCGCTCTACATAATGAGCGTTTGCTGTCCTGTCTGCATAAATGTCCATCCCTTAGGCCAGGAAAAACCCTTGTGCAGGAAAACAAACGGGGTACCTCGACTTCGAGAATATCTAACTCTCTGCACACGCGGAATATCTCTGACACCTTGGTAAATATCATACTAGGGCTTCCTGTAAGCACTTGAGTCCGGCTCACTGCGATAAATTACAGTCACATCGTCACCATTATGCCTGATACATGGGGTGTCTCATCTAACATCAGAGTAGTACTCCTTCGATTGAGCAGCACCACAAGGTTTTTTTCGCGAATAATAGGGTCAGGAACGCCCTATTCAATCCCGGCAGCCTTTCCCTCGGTCGATGAAGTCGTGCTAGCCTTGTTGCTGCTGTGGCGCGCAAGATCGTGCAACCTCGCTATCTTGCTAAGTAGGTACTTCTTGCCGACGCTAGTGCTATGTCCGGAAAGCAAAGAGCGATCACAGATCTTTGACGTAATCACTCGTCGTAACTAGTCGTATGTGTTCTTCAAGCCCCTGTAATACCATGTAAACACACAACAGAGACTAGAAGCAAACGCTATTCTCCACATTAAGTGTATACAAAATGTGTATGTGTCCAAGCTGTTTGACAAGCCACCTTCCTAGACTGCTAGTACAGACTGTCCACCGTCCCTCGTAAGCCTCCTCCTGACACGAACGTCGATCATTCTGCTTGTACCCATGACTAACCTGTTGTGGTCATCAAAACCAAAAACTGCGCTGGGTGAGTATACGATCGCCTGTCCCGTTTTTAGGTTCTCGATTCTTCGCATAAGATCATCGCGGTTCTCATCTGTGATGGGGATATGACGTTTGATAGCCGAGAACCACTCTGGACTTGAGAAGCGATGGATTACTGTAACAGAACAAAGAGCGATCAGGTCAGTTAAAAGGGTAGGCTCCTGTGTTGAAATGATGACCCTAGCTCCGTGGTGCCGCTGTAGGCGAACGGTCTGGAGAAGTGTCTCATTCAGCGATTTCGCTCCCGGTGTCTTAAGCATGTACTGATTGACATTAGTGGAAGAATCGGGATTCGAGAGATGTCATGGTTTCAGACCTTGTGTGCTTCGTCTAGAACGATAATCTTACCGGTACTTTTCGACTGCAAATATTGTTGAAGCCCGATCTCAAAGAGAACGCATGCTGTGTTGGCATCAACAAAAGGACACGACATATCCATGATTGTTATTTCACCAGGCAGGAATTTTGTTTCAGGGAAGCTATCGTTCATGTCCAAAAATGACTCTAGTAAGCTGAGACGTATCTGGAGCATGTTGGTTTGTGTTGGGTTGAATTTCTGCTTCTTCAAATGCATCTTGAAAACTGCATAATTGAATGGTCCGCCTGCCGTGGACATCTCCCGAAGTATCTGCGAGACTTGTGCCATGTAGAGAGGTGTTTCCTCGGACTCATTGACGTTCATCAGTTTAAGCATTGCAGCGATGTCGAGGTTCTGAGGCTTTATCTTAAACGGCGTGACCGAAATGTTGGGAAGCTGTAGGTAGAGCCTAGATATCTGCACATAGTTTGACGGTGAGACAAGAACATGGACCATCTTTACATGGGCTGCACCAGGTATCTCGGTATCGGCGGAAGCCAAGAACGCAGCTTCACTGATACTGAACCCAATGCCGTCACCAGCAAAGTGACTATAGCTGAATACTAGCGCGGATAGCGGGTTTTTGAGTTTTCCGAGATGCTTAGAGGAAATCAGGGAGTTTTCAAGAATACAGGATGTCGTATGGGACTTGCCGCTTCCTTGGACTCCGCAGAGGAACATAGAGAACGGGACGTTGGTGTTCAAGAAAAGCTTAGATCTGGTATTCTTTACTTCACCGCACATACCAATGAGCCCGTATTGTGGGAGTAGATTTTGAGTGTCTTGCAAGATAGCGTCCGAGCCCACTAAAGGTGCGTGCCGGATTTGGATAGCCCTTTCATTGCTTCGGATGTCTCTGGTACCATGATCTTCACTATCATCCGATACAAGAAGATCTGTGTCACTGAAACTGCTGTGAATAGATGTCAAGCTATATTCAGCGACGTATTGACCTTGATCAGTTTTAGGGTCCCCAGATATGCCAGTACTGGAGGAACTGTAATTTTTGCTACTTGGGTTGCAGCACGGGATATTCGTGTCTTTGTTTGTTGTGTCGTTTGTTGGAGTATGTTTATTGTTTTCCCTCCTCAAACTGTACGGATGATTTGCAGAAAGAAGCCTGTTTGGGGTCAGTTAATGCATGGGTGCTTATTATGCATATTGTCCGATGAAAATGTTTTCAGATCTTCACCATAGAACATCATGCAAGCTTAGCAATATTGGCACGTGAAGTGAACCAATAACAGAATATTACCAAACAAGGATCAGTCACAAGACATACTTACTGGCTAATCGCTTGGCGGATGGTTTTCCTTGAAAGTCCGGTTTCCAGAGCAAACAAATGCTTTCTCAGCTCTTCTAAACTCCTTGAAGTCCCATCATATCGGAAGCCCTTCTGACAACAGTGCCAATAGATCCAAGCCTGGAGCCCCGCTTGAGTGGAGATATTAAAATTTGCGTCGGTTGTATTGTAGTCGAAAGGCGGTACAGTGCATCTCGCTGTCAGTTGCTGCTCCGCCATGGAATTTTCCATGTTTTCTGTCTTGAGTTGCACTAGCGAGGTAGCAAGAGGATGAGGATATGATAGAATAATCAAACTTCTGCTTCTGTCTACTACCGGCAATCAAACCCCTGTTCGTGTCGCAAAGGGCTGACATCGGCGCTGGTCCAACCAGCATAGGCGAGAAACACGCTTTGAAATTTATTTTGTTCGGGTCACTTAACGCATTTCCTGGTAGCGACGTTGAATGAATCACATGTCAGCCTGTTCTGCTGCGATGAGTGACGCTAGTGACTGTTCGGGATGTTGCAGTTGGCATTTACCGTAATCAACTAATGTGGACTGGCTTGTCATGCGCCATGGCCACTACCCCGCCAGTACTGACCAATCGCGGAAGTACACATCTACGTGACACTGCAGGAGGAGCTCAGCCGTTCCAAACAGAGTCTGTAGTGCGATAAGTATATACGTAATGAGTTCGTGTTACGTGTTGGGTTGCGACACACAACGCTGAATAGCTTTCTGCATGTGTGCGCCAAAACTGATGCAAAGCCTTCCTCCATGTAGCAAAGCATATGCAGTATTCTTTGATCTGGCGTGCAGAAAGCATTTCGATTACAATCTACATACATCGGTGTTCATGATAAATTTTTTGTGGTTCCGTACACCCAAACACAAGAATAGCTAGATAGCCGATATCACTTGTCAGCTCAAGGTACGGAGCTCCATCGAGAGTAATCGGAGAGACTACAGATTAGCTTTTACTTGCTCTTGATACCTTGTTACCTGCAACAACATGCAGACCTTGTCCATATCAAGTGCACCAACTGATGGTGTGTTGCTCCATTCGTCCAACCTTGCTGCATCCCAATTTCCACCGCAATACTTCCACCCAATAACATGCAGTTTTCACCGGTCATATCACGATGAAACCAGTCTTATCTGAAGCTGAGGATCGCATCATATGAGCAGCCCGTTGCTCCGATCTCCAGAACTGTAGTAACTTGGTACGAAAAGCCTATTGCACGAGAGCAAATGGAGGTACGGCATGTGTCTTAGCCTTTCCCTTGACCTGAGTCCTAGCGCAACCTGTCACTGGTCACAGCTCACAACTTCAGATACTTTGACACGTTCCAGCTAGCAGGCTTTCTCTGCCTAGCGCACATATCCAGGTGAATTATGTCAACGCGTGGCCCATATGCAGCGCAAGTTGCGTCTTGAGAGCTATGTACACCAATCGGTTAATATTCATCCACCAGTGACTCGTTCTAATGAGAGTTATGGCTTTATTGAAAGCTTGGGTAATACCAGTTAGGTTGTAACTGTGGAAGACCCGGTATTTCCTTCATTGGTGCTGTAGAAGGCGGGTGGTGGAGTGAATACGAGCTCGGTCTGTACACGTGTGTATGAAGATAGTAACGCAGTGAGTGATAAGGCTTTTGTACAACGACACTAAAGGTAAATCTGCATGCTTTCTATAAATTCATATTGCTGAGCGCTCAGCTTTGCGTTCATATACTGCTGTTATTCGTACAGCAAACCGATATGATTCATATGTGAAAGCTTTCGCTCTCTCTGTATTGGAATTCTTAGCGTAATGATTAATGGGGTATTTCAGTGCAAAATAAGAGTGGTTAAACATATGACACTAGCTTCTCATAAAAACTCCTAAAAATGCCGACAGTAGGTAGATTGAAACCGATGCGAACGCGACAGGAGCTGTGTCAAGCATGGGCAGAGTAGCATCACACATTTGTGCTTCCGAGTGTGGGATTCTACTGGAAAGCCATTGATAGATGTAGGCTTAGCCCAGGGTTTGGTTCGATGGGGGAGCTAGCGAGCGCTTGTGGACATTCAAGCAGCAGGTGCAACATATTGTGGCTGCATAATCTCGAGGCAATGTTGCACTAGCTTTGGTTTTGGCATTCAATAGGCCCGGCTACGTAAACCTCCCAAGCGGTCCAACATTGATATATTACCACGTGCATGTCTTGACGTTTCCCTTGCATGGAATTCTGATAGGATTAGGGTTACACAACAGTTGCGGTTTGCTTGCGCTCAATTAATAGGCATAGCTTCTGGAACGCACAGATAAATCAAATCCTCCATCAATCTCTCCTCAGTAGCGCTACTATGGGGCGTAATTCAGAAAAGGACGCTGTCTTGACTTGGTACAGATCCATCTCCTCTCGTCGTGTAGATCTTATTAGCGACTACGCAGGCAGCGAAATATTCATTGTTGAGTTCGATTCGCTCCTGCTCCAATGCTTTTCCAATCCAAAGCTTAACTTCAGTAGTAAGTACTAAGAATTGCTTCCACTAAAATCTGACCAGAGCGTTTATGCATAGGTCAGATGGCTTTCAACTGCTCCACGCGGTCTACATCGTTGAGAAGTTCCTCCAAGACTTGCTCTCAAGGAGATGTCGGTTCCAGGTCGTCTGCTTTGACCAGAATGAAGAGCTTTGTGTGCCACCAAATGCAGGTCGGACAAACTGGCCTAAGTATGCGCTGGCGCGACTGGTTATCTTCAGGCATCTGGCACGCAACTTGAGTTCGGACAAGAGAGTCATGTTCAAACGATTTAGTTCATTCACAGATGATGAGTTTGTGCAGTACCTTAATGAAAGTGGTACTTACTTCGTCATGTGTCACGATGGCGCCATGCCAGACGCCGCAGGGTCAAAATCGGCACTGCGTTCAGATAGCAGCCAAGATCTCAAGGCATTTGAGGAAGATCAGATGTTGCTGCGTGAAACAAGCAACTCGGCTTCTTCTCCATCTGCTGGACGCCTTCGTAAATTAAATCTTAGAGCTATGATTTTTTGGTTCATGAGTAATCGGTACAATGTTGCCCTGATCAATGAATTACAATGCGTAGACAGTAAGGCAAGTCTTTCAGTTCTACAGTCGCGTTATTTCTCGTTCTAACGATGTCCTAGGCGATGATTGTGATTTTGGAGTCCTCACGACGACAGGATCAGAAGGGGTTTGACCCAATCTGCTACGCCGCAGCTTTTCACAATGTGCCCTTCATCAAGAGCCCTGCGTTGGAAAACTTGGGAGGGATTATTGAGCCGTCGGAAAGAGACGTGATCACTGTCCTCGTCCTCCGTACAGCGATGCAGCAAGGCACAATATCTGGTGACGAAGCTTCCGCCTTCCTCCTACATACTGCTGCACTTCAGTACTTCCCGCTTGCAAACCGGAAGCCGTCAACTACCACAGACAACATTGCCCAGACCCTCATTTGTTCGTTCGCAGAAACTGCAGCTTCCCTACTCTCCAATAAGGAACTGTGTGAGCAGCTCGATGCCCTGAATCTCCCAGTCAATCTTGCAGATCTCCTCGATGGGTTTTTGCTTGCTGCTCTAACCCGCGATGCCTGCCTTCGCAATACGCTAATAGCCAACAAAGCTGTCAAGAAGAAATACGACAGCCTGCTTGATACATTCGTTGAGGCCTCCAAGAATGGTTTTGATGGAATACTCCCTATGAGTATGACCACCGATTATCAGGTTTCCAAAGACTCGGCACGGTATCGCTACTCAGTTTCTAGCAAAGACCAGACTGTCCTCCCTTTCAAGAATGCTATCTTCGATAAGCACCTTGCTCCCGTCGGCCTGAAGCTGGAGGAAAGATTTTCAAATGGGGCAACACATGACAATGCCAAAATCTTCCAAGAACTATCACATTGGCACAATCATAGAAAGACCCTTGCATTGAAGACGGCAACACAGAAGCTTGGTTATTTTGCTCGCCGTCGGAATGATTTGTATATGGCTGAAATACATGCGTATGCGGCCAGCCTTACCAATGCAGCTGCGAAAGTCTTGGAGCCTGAAACTATCGTTGTGAACCAGAGACTACAACCATCCAAAACACAAAAGGCTCTTGTACAGGATACACCCGTTCGTTCGAACCAGCTCGAGAAAGAAGGGTGTTCTAAAGGTGGCAAAAAAACGAGCAAGCCGATAAAGAAGAGTGGGAAGACTATGGCTCTTGAGGCGGCAGCCGCTATCAAGGCAGCAAAGACTCAATCCAAAGGAGACATCGACGCTGCTCACTGGAAGGTGAAGTGTAAGGAGCTCTGTTGTCAATCTAATCTGCAACTTCGGTATCTCAGAACCCGGGATTACTGCACGAGATTACGTTATGACAGTTTGATTAAGCCAGAAGTGGAACTATATACAATAGACTGTCTGCTTCGGATCTGGATGGAAGGTCATAAGAGCACAGCTGTAGAAGCTGGTGAGAGCTTTGCAGCTTTAATCTGGAACACATTTCTGGAATTGCAGAAGACGAAGTCGGGAATGACACCCGAGATTTTGGCTTCCCTAGGAGTGATTTTGAAGGTCTTGAAACTCCCTGCGCTCAGATACGAGGCGGAGGCTACCAGTCGGCCACTCGAATTCACTTGCGTATTCAACGAGCCAAAGATCTCAAGAGCTTCTATGAACCGCAACAAACTATCCATCCCAGGCGGCGCAAAGATGTTCCAGTTAGAGCATTGTGGACCTTATCTTGAGAGGGAAATTGGCTCAGCTATAGACGAGCGTGTTCCGTTCCGTCCCGACGCATGGCAGCGCAAGGTTCTTGATGCAATTGATGAGAACCATTCTTTGTTCGTTGTTGCACCAACTAGTGCTGGCAAGACGTTCATCTCCTTCTATGCGATGAAGCAAGTTCTCACGAATGATGACGATGGTGTTATCGTCTACGTTGCACCGACCAAAGCTCTTGTCAATCAGATTGCCGCTGAAATCCAAGCACGTTTTTCCAAGTCCTTCAAACGGCCTGGGAAATCGGTCTGGGCAATTCACACACGGGACTATCGAATCAACAACGCTACTGGATGTCAGATCTTGGTGACCGTGCCCCACATCCTCCAGATTATGTTGCTAGCTCCCTTCAATGCTGAGAAGGAAAACTCTTGGAGTTGCCGGATCAAGCGGATAATATTCGACGAAGTCCATTGCATCGGTCAGGCAGAAGATGGGGTGGTCTGGGAACAGTTGCTCTTGCAGTCGCCTTGTCCTATCATAGCCCTCTCTGCAACTGTTGGAAATTCAGAGGAGTTTAGTACCTGGCTTGGGTCAACTCAAGAAGCAAATGGGAACAAACTTGTCACAATTGAGCACCACCACCGATACTCCGACTTACGGAAATTCATCTACGTTCCTCCAAAGACGTTTTGCTTTACAGGTCTACCGGAGAGCTCTCCTATCCATACACCAGGCCTAGACGGAATGGAAGCTTTTTGTTTCGTCCATCCCGTTTCAAGTTTGAATAACAAATCTCGTGGAATACCGAAAGATCTCCATCTGGAGGCTCGGGACTGTCTTTGGCTCTGGCAAACGATGAAAAAGCACGCAACAAAGGAGTATGTTGTTCCACCCAATCTTAGCCTCGACGCACTTCCGGATGTAATTAAGAAGATCCACATCTTCGAATGGGAGAAGAAACTTAAGACTAAGCTAATGGAATGGATGAACTGTGAGGGCTCGCCATTTGAGAAAGTTCAGCAGGATCTGAGCAAAACGCTGGTCAAGCCCACAATCCGCAACCTTCTCTACACAAAACACACTTTTGATGTTAAATTTGAAGCCAGGAATGTCGATGCAGAGAGCCTTTCTTCGATCATTCTCCCAGCGCTTACCGATCTGCATGTTAAGAACGCTCTTCCAGCGATTGTTTTCAATTACGATCGTAGTCAGTGTGAAAAGCTGATGAAAGATGTGATCAAAGAACTGGATATGAATGAGTTAGCTTGGAAAGACACGAGTACCTCATGGAAAGAGAAACTTGCGGCATTCGAAAGGTTCAAGAAAGACCAAGAAATGATCAAAGCCAAGTCTAAGGATGGAAAGAGCACAGCCAGAATGAAAGCTAAGCGTGGAAGCGACAACAAGAGAGAGAAGGATGATGAAGAGAGAGTGTCGAGATTGGACCGTGAACGCGAAGCCGCATCTGCAGAGCATACCCAGTGGGATGGTTTCAATCCTCGTGCCCCGATCAATGGCTTCCACTTCGCCAATATGCATAAACTGCTGCAATCAGAGCTCGAAATATACAAGCAGCAACTACGTGATCGAGGCGTCGCAGAATGGCTTATCAGTGCTTTGAGCCGAGGCATCGGCGTCCACCATGCAGGCATGAATCGGAAATACCGTCAAGTGGTGGAGATACTCTTCCGCAGAGGCTTCCTGCAAGTTGTAATTGCTACAGGCACTCTTGCGCTAGGCATTAATATGCCCTGTAAAACTGTAGTTTTCGCTGGAGACTCTGTTTTCCTTACCGCGCTCAACTTTCGCCAGTGTGCTGGTCGAGCTGGTCGAAGAGGGTTTGACCTACTTGGGAATATCCTGTTTCTTGGAATCCCTGTTGAAAGAGTGTTCCGTCTCATCAGCTCAAGACTTCCCGATCTGAACGGACATTTTCCTATCACAACATCGTTGGTCTTGCGGCTAGCCACTTTGCTCCATGGGTCAAGAAACTCCGACTTCGCAATTCGTACAATCAACTCTATTCTTTCCCAGCCTCGACTCTACCTTGGCTCACCTAAATCCAAAATGGCTGTCCTACACCATCTTCGCTTCTCAATCGAGTATCTTCGACGCCAGTCCTTGCTGGATCTTCATGGTTCGCCAATCAACTTTGCCGGGTGTGTAACTCACTTATACTACACGGAAAATTCTGCCTGGGCTTTTCACGTCCTCCTCAGTTCGGGATACTTCCATGAACTCTGCCAGGAAATCGATTTCAATACCCAACACGTTTGTTCAACACTTATGCTTGTATTATCACACATCTTTGGTCGGCAACAATGCAAACACGTCGATGTGGAGTTTGTCGAGGAGGTTGTGAAGCGGTCACCTTCGATCGTCTTCTTACCGCCGTTGCCGAAGGAAGCGGAAAAGACGCTCCGAGCTCATAATAACGAAACCTTAGCAATCTTCCGCACTTATGTCAAAACTTTCGCTGATCAGCATCTAAAGGATTCGGATGACGCATTGCCACTGAGTGGGATACAAATCGGTCAGTCGGAAGAGCAATTCAATATAACCCCAAGTGCAAATCAGCACACAGTTCTTCGCTCCCACTTCGTATCACTTTCGGGCCATGGTGACGAGTTTGATAGTATCTCCGATCTCTGTGGTACTGTACGTTCTGGTGTCTTTCTGGAAGAAGCTGTTGTGCCATATTTGCCTATCCATCCCGAATCTACAGTACCACTCAACGCGTACTTGTATGACTTCTACAAGCATGGCGATCTGAATGCCCTAGAGAAAGCAAACAAGATCCGCAGGTCCGATGTCTGGTTCCACCTGAACGGTATGTTTCCTCTAAAACATTGATGATTGTTTGCCAACGAATAACCAGACTTCTCTCTCGTTCTCGCAACGATTATAACAGCTTTGACCAACTACATAAAACCCTCACCATCCGAGTCAGACGCAACTGATCTGAAAGGCAGTGGCGACGTGCATGAAGAATCAAAGGACGATAACAAAACAATCGGAAGCGACGATAATGCAGGACAGGAAGTCAATAACTCAGCCTTAACAAACGTCTGGGCTCCAATTGGAGTTTGGGATGACAAGGATGATGAGATGGAGGAATGGGAGGATGTAGACATGGGCCTACCAAAGGTACTGAAAGCGTTTCTGTGTATAAAAGGGGAGTTCGATAGTAAATTTAAGCATATGTGGGCTTAGGCGTTGAAACTTCTAATACCAGAGAGAAAACGGTACACATAGCATAGGGTTAGGCCTTACTACATATATATTAGATTACTAGTTGTGATGGGCTACGCCCTTAATAGCCGCGCTGCGATATGCGCGCGCCAATACCGAATACATATATCCAGCTACCATGACAACAAGACAAGCATGTTATCCTGTGCATACCTTTCGGTCACATGGGTGGCGTGAGTAGCTGCGCGCAAGGCCGGATCAGGCCCACCCATTACACCCGGGAGGACAGGACTAGAAGTATTAAGGATATAAAGATAGATAGATTGTATTATTTACTCTTATTATAGTCAACTAAAATTATACTTTCTAACTGACTTAATTGCTTTACTATACAAGATTGTTACCTGTTAGTCTATCGAATAGATTAGTAGTTATCGAACCTGTTGCCCTCCTTCTATAAGCACGCCACTCTACTATATCGCTAGATAAACTCTTACAGAGCTATTCACATAATCCTACTCGCCCTGACCCAGAACTAGCTTAGAGAAGTATCAGCATCCAACCCCATGTAACATAGCTTCGGGTTGAATTTACGCGTGCGCAGGCGGCTAGTACTACTCTCTGCGTTCTATAACACGGGCGCTTAAGTGTTCTAAATATGGAGCTCCATGGCGGTAACCCTACCTTATGTAGCAATGTTACAACACCACCGAGGATCAGACCTATATCGTAGTCGGATCGGAGGAAGTATGCACCGCCCTCTTCAGTAGTCATTCGTTCTTGTAGTCGGACCCGGCTCGGATCCGACTAGGATAGGTATATATAGAGATACTCCCTATAGCTAGCTCTGTAGTTTTTCAATATCCTTTCGTATAAGACCTATAGGTTTCTGCTCGAATTAAGGCCTTCTGATGTCCTACGCACTCCTATATGCCTCTGAGTGGCACTACCGCCGATACTAATCCGAGTAGTCTTGCCTGCGTCGTTACACCCTCCCCTAACCCTAATATAACACAAATCTGCCTGCAATGCTCGAGACTCTAGAGATCAGCTAATTAGGTATGCGCGAAAAGCCTTTGTATAAGAAACATATTTGCTAGAGTAGCATGTTACAATGAATTGGGTATGTTAAAATTCACGAATCGGGGGTTGCAAATCGCTTAATTCGGACACGTAACCCTAACGCTAAGCCTGTTTTAGCACAAAAGAGGCCTTTTTCACCGCCTTATGTTGGTTGGGCCTAGGACGGTTTCTTGATCTGCACCTTAATCTCCATGCCATCGACTGGCTTCGCGGTAACTTGGTAGGTCGAGAACAACGTGCTCTTTGTTTTCGCCTTACCCTTCTCGTCAACCTGCACCAAGCCCTTCTCATCCAAGTCTAGCTCACCAAGCCCTTGCTTAACAAAGTCGAAACGCCTTGCGACACAAGCGATAACTATCTTCGTCTCGAGATTCGCAAGCTCAGATCCCGTGCACCTCCGAGGCCCGCGCTCATAAGGCCTGAAGCTACTCTCCGGGATGTTCTTGCCTTCGTCGCGGAGCCATCGCTCAGGCTGGAAGTCGTTGCGGCTGTCGCCGAAGACCTTTGGGTGGCGTTGGATAGTGTATGCGCGTGGTGTCACGCACAAACCATCGATGCAGAGCGTGTCGCCATCGGGAAGAGTGAGCATAGTGTTTGATGACGATGGAGCGATGCGCGCAGTAGTGCCAGGTGGATGTAAGCGTAAGGTCTCCTTGATCAGAGCATCAGTGTAACACAATCGTTTCAAGAGCGGCCCTGCTTCAGGACTTCGCAGCGCCTTCACTACGGTGGAAGGGTGGGTATTTGGACCAAAGACACAGTCAAGCTCTGCCTTGAGGGTTTGCGCGGCGGAGGGATGTATGTGCAGTTCGTAGAATGCCCATTGAAGAAGAATAGATGTTGTGTCGTGTCCAGCGAAGAGGAAACCGCGAAGTGTATCGCTAGTTTGTTGTAGTATCCGAGGTGTCAATCTGTCGATACCCTGGAGGCTAAGTGTTGCGACGCTCTTGTTCTTCGTCTCGGAGTCGATGTTTTCAGACAGCATGCCCTTGTGCTGTTTCTTTATTACAGCTTTGAGAATACTATCGAGATGTTTGTCCTTGGATCGGATCTCGCGCTCGTTCGCAGAGAAGTAGTCGCGCCAGCTCACTCCTCCGAAGGGGCGCTTATTGAAAGCTTGGGAGAGAGCGCGGTAAGTCAGCAGAATCTCAGACTGTTTCCCATCGATCTGCGCGTTGAGATCCATAGCGAACGTTACAATGCCAATAATGTCAAAGACAAGATTCGTGGTGTAGGATTCGAGATGAAAAGTGTCGCCGCTGGCAGCCTTTTGTTCCATGAGCTCAATAAACGTCTCTGATTTGTCCAGAATCACATCGACAAGACTAAGCAGATGGCTCGGTTGGAAGCCAGGTCGTATCCGTTTGTATAGCGCGTTCCATTCGTCGCCCTAATACAATGATGAGCTTTCGTCTCTTCGATAGTAGCAGATACAATTTGTAGGTGGAACTCACATCTGTTGTGACCAGAGACCTTGCACCAACTAGGGGTGCTAACTGCTGGATAGAGGGATGTTTGGGCATACTAGTCCTGAAAGATTTGTTCGGCTTGGTGACCTGTTCCGCAACATCGTTGTCTAAGATGAAAAGAACTGGAAACTTCTCAATCGGGCGGAAGTCGACAAGAAGAACTGGAGGGAATCCGAGCTTTTCAGCTTGTTCGTATAATATCTCATCGAATGCGCGTCGAGGATCACCCTCAGCCGCAGCTTTCTCTATCCATGGCCAGTGGCCTCGAACAGGGTCTACTGGCTCAGGCTGTGGGAAGCGCGAATACTGCTGGAGGTCGATGGGCTTGGCTTTTGTCGTCTTTCGTAGATAAGAAGCCATGGTAAGCAAGATTGCTACGAGGACTAGTATTTCCCACCGCAACAACGCACTCAGCTTCTCCATATGGTTAGACCAAATCAAGTTCAACAGCGCCATCTTTACCGTGACGAGAGTGTTGTGTCAGGCTGCCAGTTCATAATTGTTGCCAGGAACTTGCAAGACGTCCCTTTATAATATATGCGAAAACCACTATGGAGAAGCCGCTGGTTGCATTGCGATGTGCCATCGTGTCATCGGCGTATTTGGCCTATTGTGGTATGCCGTGATGACAGTAAAGTGGTTTCGGCGTGATGCCTGACTTGATGACTTGAATAATATGGCAGGTGATCATCTGATAAGATGCGATCAGATTAGATTAGACTAGATTGATTCGCTGAGGACTCGTAATTCCTGCAGGTCGCGCAAAACTCTGCATCTTGGCATCGCGGGCTGCGAGCCACGTCTAGCTAGTGTGAGCAGGGTGTTAATGCTCCGCAAATGATGGCGGCTTGACATAGGGGGTCGTGAGGCATCAACACGAACTGAAGGTAATACAAGGTGCTCACCCGGAGACTCAGCCCATTACAAAAACGTCAACGAAGCCTGACAGTCGCGGTGTTATGACACCTTTGTAAAAACGTGCAGTGTTTTCTTAAACCAATGAACATTCTCTTTTATGCCGTGTGGGGCGGATTGCACCGCCTAAGGACATCCAGCCACTTATGGCTAGCATCTAGACCTTACTTTTTTAAGTTAGCTATAAACGTATGACGTAGTTAAGCCAGTGCAGGGCACAACTTACATTATTGTCTTACAATATGATTGGTTTACAGATGTGACCCATAGTTACCTTGTGGCGGTGCACGGAGTGCGCAAGTATATAGAGGGAAGGGCATCCCTCAGCGAGAGCATCTCCTCTCTCTTTTGGTTTCCCTTTTCACTATCGCTGTCCGCGATACCAGGGACTGGTAAGTAATGACTTGACTTGACTTTTTTCTTTATCTCTGTTTGCTACATAGCATATCAGATCAATTATCTCAGAAAAGAATGGCAGGTCATATCCCAACCTGCCGGAATCGGGCATCAAAAAAATCGCTGGTAAGTAATAGAATGGGTCAATATTGTATTGACCTTAGTGAAAATCAAGTAAGTAGTAAGTTTTGTAAAAAAAAACTAACGTTATAAGTTGAAATATACTTTTAATGCGAATGCAGTAGGAAGTAAATATAAAGTTGTGCAAGGTAGTGCACACTTAGTAAAGATAGTATTATATCAACGCGAAAGTATTTACACAGTGGAAGCCGGGAACAGATCATATGATATTAAGGGGCTCGTAGATATTGCGCCCTCTAGAAGTGGTATACTCATAACATACTTTATGTCATGTACTGAATTACAGTGGCAGCGCGACGCTACATGCATTATTATTATGGGTTGTCCCACAGCTATATCTAATAAAGAGTAGAACGAAATTAGAGATAGAATTGCAGCGGAGCTAGGTGTTACAAGTAACAACAGGAAGGATCCTCTCCCTGGGTATGACGATGAATGGTTGGGAAACCACTGAGGATACCAACGGGTAAGATGATCATCGCGGGGCTCGGTCACGTGATGTGACATCCCGCCAAGACTGACCATCCGGGATGGCAGGACTGGAAGCAATGAGGATATAAGGATGGATGGATTTCATTATTTACTCTCGTTGTGGCCAACTCAAATTGTAATTTCTTACTAGTTACTTCACTTTACAAGATTGTTACCTGTTAGTCTATTGAATATTATTATTATTATTCCATTATAGTCCTGTATCAGCCGTTGGCTATGTAGGACTTTGGCCAAAGGCCGTTCTATCTAACTAGTTACAATTTGGTACGTTGTGCTGTATTGCGTGACTATGGTGCTTCGGCCTTTGTCTAGTTAAGCTAGTACTAGCTTTCTAGACGCCTGGTGCTAAAGAGCAGTTTGGTAACAGGGAGAGATATAGAGCAGCTAGGCTGCCTTCTAGCGAGCTCTCTTAGGGGATAGGAAATAGTGCTAGTAAAATCAAATTCGTTGTTCTTTGTTTTTCTTCTTTTCTTCTTATTTTTCTTATTTTTCTTCTTTCTAGCCTTCTTGGCCTACATGCCACTTTCTTGTTCCTATCTTCGTGCTAGTAATAAAAGCTAGAGTAGCTTCTATACCGCTCGTAGTGTGGAGTAAGAGTGGGAGTTTAAGTACTTTCTGGCCTAGAGTCTTTTTTAAGTTGGTTTCTCTCTGCGCTATAGAAACCGCAGTATAGAAGTAGGTGCTCTGCTGTTTGTGGTCTTCCGC